TCTCTCTCTCTCTCTCTCTCTCTCTCTCTCTCTCTCTCTCTCTCTCTCTCTCTGTTAAAATTATACACTCTGATGAGGCCGTCCCTCACCCGTAAAATGAAAACTTCAACGAAGAAGTCAGACAAGCCAACAACAACAAAGAAGAATCCGAGGGGGAAAGGGGAAAGGGGGCTTTGAAGGAGAAAGACTTCAGAACAAGAAAAGGGCAGATGTTTCGTAAATATATGCAAAGCAAAACTGGGTGTACCCTGAGCACTTGAACAGAAAAACAGGCCAATCATTGTGTACTTCCTCCTGCCACACTGGTGGAGCTCTGCATTCAAAAAAAGAAAAAAAAAAAGAAAGAAAGAAGGGGGGGGGGGGGGAAGTGTGGTCACAGGCACCCGCCTTTCAACGGTCAGCTCTGACATTCTGACTGAACATGTCCCAATTGTCCAGAGAGAACAAAAACATTTTCATCTCCCCACTGTGAACATTTTTGTTATGAGAAAAAGGCTGCTTCAAGAAATAGGAAGGCGTTTTAAGGTGAAGGGCAGCTGAGCTAGCCAGCAGAACCTTCTGTTTTTTAACTCTCCCTCTGCTGGCCCCGACAGAAAGTTTAGGGCTGAAACATAGCAGTGAGTGAGGCTGTGGAGGATGTTGGCTCTTCCCTGACTAGACCATATTGTTTGTGCAAAGAAATATGCATTAAAACCTATGGATGCGTTGTTAGGTATTGAGCATGTTGGATGCATGGAAATTAGGCGGCTCGCTGGTGCTGGATGTTATAGTTCACACTCCTTCGCACACATTGCACACACACAGTTTTGGCTGTGCTTTCTGCAACATATGGAAAAATAAATATTTCATTTGTGTGAGCTCTTATCAGGCTCCAGGGTCTGCTGGGAGGCGAGTGCTCTCTTCTATCTCTCTCCCCCAATTCTCTCCCTTCACTGGGCTCCCACCCTCTCCTGCACATTAACAAGCTTTCCGCTTATCAGCCTGGTTGGATAGGAAAGAATTAGTCAGAACCTCCCTTTGATAAATAATTACTCAGTGGCTGGATCAGGATAATTTAGATCAGTGATGCCTTCCTCGGCCTTTTTGGAGTGGTAACCATTTCCCTACTCTCCTCCACAACTGTAAAGTGTCTGGGGAGGGGAGAACGGCTAAAATTAAAAGTCTCCACCACTCTGACATGGGGAAGGGACATAGAGAAACTGAGCTCCACCAGCTAGTATCATGTGCCCAAGGCAGGTTATTCTGCATCTCTGAGCCCTTATCTTCCCCATCTGTAAAATGGGAACACCGCTGCCTTCCAGTTGTGGGCTGTGGTGAAGAATAAAGGAGATGAGCCAGGCTTTGCTTAGCACAATGCTGGCTCAGGAGCAGGTGCTTCTAATGAGCTTTTTGAAAACAAACAAACAAACAAACAAACAAAAAAACTAGTTCTGTGGTGGACATGTTAGCTGCATAAGTAAGACATCTTAGTATATTTTGAATATCTAGGTCAGAGGCTAATTGTAGTGGATAAAGAAGGAATTATAGCGCCCTCACCTCTTCTGTTCACATGCTTGTCATTGCTGTGGCTGCACTGAGTTCCTTGGAGGTGAGGGTCAAGCAAGTTGCATTTGGCCTGCAGCAGCCCATCAGCGAGAACACTATGGTCTATTCATGGAAAGCAACCTACAGGACTCTTGCTTATCACGCCTCCTTACAATTTATCCTTTCACGACTTGGCCCAATATTCTCACATTAACTTAAAATGTTTTCATGATTAAAGCATTTTATTATCTCATTTTTTTTCCTTCTTCTTGGCAGGGCTGATTTACAATATTTTTCAGTGTCTTTCCTCCCTCACTGTAGTCAGGATCCTGGTAGGAAATAAATGGCACATGTAGAAGGTTTTCACTGAAGGGAGTTTGATGAAGGGACTGGGTTCGGAAGTGTAGAGGAGACTAAGGGACTCTCAAGGGATGGCAAAGCACAAGAGACTGTAAACAATGGGGAGCTGTTGATCTCATTTTTGAACCAGCTAAACTAGAAGGCAAGAGAGGGGCACAAATGTTGAAGGGAGTCTGGATGTCTGGCCTGACAGTCTGACTTCTTGATGGTACCACTCTCAAGTCTTTTGCAGAAGTCTTCTCTAGGCCTGATTCTAACAGAAGCAAGAGAACAAGTGAGCCTGGGTGCTGGAGCCCTGAGGTCTCTGGTGCCTGCATTAGGGCAGGAAATGGGAGCTGGGCTGGCAAGAGTCGTCATCGGCGTACCTATTGTTTGCTTCCCTTTTACATTTCTATCACCCTTTCCTCTTAATTACATTCTTCGCAAGGAAAATGCACAATAAAATCCGTCCTCTGCTAGCTTCCCCGTACCTTATTTTGTCTGTTTGCCATTTATAGAGCAGGGAAACTGAATGTACTCTCACAAGTGGGGATTTGTTTGTGCTCCTTGCTACCATATCCTAGTGCCCAAAATAGTGTCTGGCACCCACTGAACACGCAGTACATTTTAGTGGATTGAGAAGATATACTCATCTCTGCTGTGCTAGACCCTATATATACATCATTTCATTTAATTATCACAACAGTGAGAGTAAGTAGGCAGGCCCGAGCACGTGTGCAGGTAACATGTGAAAATCCAGCACCTGCTTCAACCGTCACCTCTCTAACTTTGAGCACAGGTGCAGAGCACTGGAAGCCCCCAGGAAAAAGCACTTTTGCAAAGTTCATATTCTTACATTTTTTCCTACCTTAGTGATTATTTCATTTATGTATGCAAAGAAGCAATTTCTGAACAGTGGAGACTATTAAGGTTATAACTCAACCTATCCCTTTTCTGGGGACCAGGAAAAGACGAAACACTTTTCTGTGACAAAACAGGTAACTGTGGATTTCCTTGCGATTTCCAAGAAAGATCAGATCCCAATCCTTAGGTCTAGGTCTGACTTTTCTGTAAGAGTGTAGGTGTTGCAGAGAATATACAAACTTTGATACCAATCTATACCCTAGCATGGCACAGGCATTACTCTGTGTTGAAGAAAAAATCCAGACGTGAGAAACCATTTAGATGTGAGAATTTCTAAGGGACTCCTTGCACTTGAGTGTAAGGACAAATTATGCAAGTAAGTTCCCTGTGTGATTATATGCTGAAGAAACAACTTATGTCATTCTCTCATGTCCTTAGCTCCTAGTCCCTCCAATGCCCTTCATTTCTAATCTTAGCTAGCAAGGCTACATATCAACTATCATCAATTATTATCAGAGAGACCAAATGCATTTTAGGTAAAAAGACACAAAATTCTAGCTTCATTGTTTTTGTTTTTCTGTTTTTTTTTTTTTTTGTTTTTTTGTTTTTTTTTTTTTTTTTTTTTTTTAGTTTGAGGTGTGAAAGAAAAGCTAAAGACATGGGTAGTATGAATGTGAAAATCCTACCTGGCACCTAAGAGGAGTATTAGCCTCCCAGGTTCAGGATTTTCCAGTGACAAATACTTCAGGAAAACACCATCCCATTTCCTGCCTCATACTAGACAGGAAGACTTGTAAGCACAATTAAAAGGAGATTTCACTTTAAAATGCATAATTATCTTGTAAGCACAGTTTCGTAGTTCTAAAAAATTCAATTTTCTGGCTGTTTATTAGTGAAAAAAAAGTATAAATTTACCTATTAGTTTTAACATGATTAGTTAATAAATTTTCATTGTTTTTCTGTGGATATTGAATCTCCTGCCCTATCTTATCTCTGCACACTTCCTTGTGAGGGCTATACTTGGACAGAAATGCCCAGTATACAAGGAACCCAATCAGCTACACAGAGCCACTCATCCAGAGGGCAGAGCAGAGCTGCCATGTTTGGCTGAAAATATGGTGGAAGGAGCCCAGAATCTCCAAAGGAAGCCTTGGTTCTTTATACTTGCAAGGAGGCAACAGCATGGGGTGCATTCCAGAGATCATGTAGTCATAGGCAAGCTGAGCTGTCTCATAGATTTGACCAGGGTGACATGAAATGACAAATAACCATGAGATTCAACAATCACATGATGAGATATGAACACAGGAAGAGCAGCCACCGCCATCATGGGAAGAAGCACACATGACCAAACAGAGTAGCTCCAGTCCTTGACAGGTGTGCAGAGATCCAGAATGACACAACCACAGTAGACAGGAGAGAACAGTACCCAGACCTGCATGCAATGAGTGCTGGTAGCTGGAATCTGCTGCGGGTATTGGACCTGGTCACTTTGCCGCACCCAAGAGATGAACTATGTGAACTTTTACATGCTTTTACAGTTGTGGGGTTTATCATCATCATCACCACCATTACCACCACCACCACCTATTAAACAAAGTAAACTAATTCACCAGGGGCATAATGGACTTACAGTAGTTTCCAGATAAATGGTGTCACTCTTCGGGTAAATCACTCCAAGGCTTGGGCCTAGTGCAGATGTTCATTGGGGCAGGGAGCAGAGAGCGGCTGCATCTAGCATAAACAAACAACAAAATAAACAAAGTCATTAAGTGAGTAGGACACGATTATGGCTGCTTCGTTCATGAATTTAACAGTTTTTAAAAGAAGAGGAATAAGGAACATGACTGCAGCTGGTTCCAGAAGGTGGCAAGACAGAGAAGGGGCTTTGTTATAGCATATCTGCTCACTCCTGGGATGGTCTGAGACATCACCTTGTCAGTGCAGATGGAGTGACTTTGGGAAGTTGAGTGGGGGTTAGAATGGAGGGACTGGGGACAGCATCATTCCAACTTGGCCCAGACAACTTTTCTGATGTTTTCCATATATTGGTTGGTTGTTAGCTGACACAAATTAAACCTATTTGTGGCACATATAATGTTAATGCAATGTTTTGAGATTTGTATTCATTGTGGGATAGACAAATCAAGCTAATTAGCATATTTATTACTTCACATACTTATGTTTTGTGGTAATATATATGTTTTGAATCCTAGGGTAGGCAAACTGTAAATCTCAGCAGCTGCCTGGAGGAAGAGAATAGAGAAGAGAAAGGGAGGAAAATCTTTTAACTTATCTGTCTTGTCTAGGGTCAAATTTGTTTAGGCTAGAAAAATGCCTAAATAAAATTTTTGTATTCTTTGAACAACATTCCCCTAGCCTATGTTAGCCACCATTTTATTCGCTGCTTCTGTGAGTTCAACTTTTTTTTTTTAATTCCATACATAAGAGAGACTGTGCTATATTTATCTCTATAGGCCTGACTTATTGCAGTTAATGTTTTCCAGGTTCACTCATGTTGTGACAGTGGCAAGACCGCCTTCTTTTCAAAGGCTGAGTAGTATTCCACCATGCATGTGTGTATCACAGTTCTGGTATGTCTAATTCCCTTCAGTCTCTCTTTCTCTACTACTCAGCCATTCAGCCATTGCTTCTCCTGACAACACTCATCTAGCTGGTTTGAATTCTTGCCTTCTCTCTGTTCCCCTTAAAGAGAACAGAATCTTCCTTATCTTTTAGCCCCAAGGAGGACAGCCTCAGAAAGTGTAGATTATGATCTGTCTCCAAGGGCCCCATCTCACTGGTTCTTCCCAACCCCATCTCTGCCCTTTGGGTCCTGCTCAGGGTCCACTTTGTGCCTGAAACTTAATCACCTTTGTGATGAGGCAGGGCATTGTCCTGTTCCCCTGTCTCCAGTCTGCTGCTCTGTCTCCTGCACTTGCTTGTTTTCCTTCTCTTTTTCCCTTGACAGATATATTCTTTAATATTCTTGCCGCTGCCAGAGGCTTTGTCTAGCAAACCTTTCCAGACCTCACCAAGTGCTGTCACAGAGTGCTTTCTCTAGCTCTTGCTTTCTGCAGTGCCCCAGACTTATATTCTAAGTTCAGTGGGTGACCAGCGCACTCATCATTTGTTCGCCTGGTGCACATACTGCTTCCAGTAGACCCTTGGAAAAGATGAGCAATCCAGGATCTCTATTCTAGGAACTTTCACCTCCATTCAATATTCCCTGATTCTTTTAAATTAGAAACTTTAAAAGATAGACCTCACTGTCTTTTCCTCAGAATCTGTTGCTTCCCGAGAGTTTTCATCTCCTCACTCTTGATGCTATTTCCACTCTGTAGTTTGTCTACAGTTGAGCAGTTCTCCTGATGGTTTTGCCTTTTCATATCCAGTCAGTCGCCAAACCCGTAGTTCTTCCTCTGGCTAACTTTCTTGAATCTATTTCTTTTTAGTACCTAACACTATTGGGTACCAGCTCATGTGAGACCATCTCTTGACTGCCTCCATTCTTCTAATTTCTCTTTACTTTATGTGAACATTCAACCTTTCTACCATTACTACATAGTATTCTAAGATGCCAGCCTAAACATATTCCTCCTTAGCGTAAAAAACTCCTTTCCTGATTGTATTAAATTCAACTTCTCAACTTGACACTGAGTACACTACAAGGTGACCCCAAACCAATTTTCAGTTCTACTCTTTATAGTTTATTCCATACATCAGCAAAGCCCCCTCATTCATACTATTTTTCTCTCATTCCAAGGTCTACATATAGCTTCTTTAAGGGTCATTAAATGCCACCTCATTTAGGAAGCATTTCTCAAAGGGTAATGCCCTTCAACTTTCAAGCACTGATTGACAGGACCCCCTGGCACCTTCTACCAACTCCAATCACCATCTGTATCATTTATTTCCCACCCCCTTCCAGAAAGCAGCGATACTACCCAAGGGTGGAGGCAACAGGTCAGAAGCAAACTCTCTCTCTACCCATCTCTTGCCCTCCTCTCTCCTGCCTCCTCCCATCATAAGGAAAGTTACAGAAAAAAAAAAGATTTCTTTTTTGCAAAGCAATCAATAGAAATTAGAAGCCCTTTCCTAAAAGCAGATCCAAAAGCTTAAAAACATTGTGCTAATCTTCTTGTACCTTTCTGTGTAGGAACAGGCTACAAATGTTCTGACATACCTTGTTTGGAAGTAGATCCTAAGACCCCAGGTTAAGAAATGGTCCTGTCCATACCCATGAAGAAGGAATGCTGCATGGAGAGGTCAGCAAGAATCTGATCAGACAGGCCTTGCTGGGTTCCTGTGCTCAATCTACTATCATTAGGTCACACTCATTTTGACCAATCATAGTTCCACATAGCTGTCCATTGTCCAGCCAATTTAAGCTTGGACAGCCACCTTTAATCTTGGGTCTTCATCCTGAAGGCTCTAATGTCAGGTAGAATTGTGGTCCAATGAATTTCTTGGCTACAGGGGTGTTGGCAATGCCTATTTATGGTGTGTAGAATAAGGACCATACCTCTTCTGCCTCCAGGATAGTGTCTTGTATAGGCAATGCCTTGCATATGCTGTGTGATCAGCTGATGTTGGCTGAGTGAAATTCCAAAGGAATAAGGAATCTTGCTTAGAAGGCATAGAAACTGGAAGGACTTTGAAGCTCATCTACTCCACTGTCCTTGTGTTCAGATGAGGAGATTAAGCGAGCCTACTTACTCAAGGTCCTATCCTTGTTAATAACTAAGCAAGGATAACTGATAGAAAAGCTCTTGTGTCTTTAAATAACTGTCAGTGCCTGCTAAACACCAATAGGCCCACCAGCCCACCAACAGCCATGTCCAGACCAGGGAGGGAGAGTTTGAGTGTATACTATGTTTCAAAAATAACAAACTTGTTTAACTTATTAGCTTCAACAGACAGAACAAATAAATACCATTTTATGTTTCAATAGGGACTTAAAATGAGGGTGAATCATGAAAGCAAAGAAGCAAATTTTTCTACCATTACCAGCTACAGTTCCTGGTGGAAACGGGCTGCAGTAATTCTACGGTTAAATTCATTATAGCCATTTGGCAGCCTTGCTGCATTAACACTTCTTTTTCCAGCAAGCTTGCTCACTATTTGTGCTCTGGACATGTTTACATTTGCGCTTTTTTTTTTTCCTCCTCATTTAATGATTTACTCGTAGAAACATGCAGATGGCTGCTCCAAGTCTCTTCTCAGTTTCTTGCCTTGTTTTATTTCAGAGATAGAAGAAATATTATTTGTTCCATTCCTCCTCTGACCTCAAACACAATCATCTTTTCTCAGTCCCTAAATGAAAAGCTAAAACAAGACAAACAAACAAACAAACAAAGGAAAACCCTAAACCAACTAAAACTAAAACCAGAAACAGCTGTCTTGGGATAGTGGTGTTTACCACAGCAATTAAAACAGATCTTCCAGGGCCTATCAGTCATTTATCACCGGCCAGGAAAGCTTCCTCTTAAATATTAGCAGATAGTACCAAAGGGCTAACCAGCTCATTGTTACCCAGCAGCAGAAGACAGTAATATTTATCAAACTCGTTTTGGCTGGTACAGTGGGGAGGTGCTATGCATGGAACCGTTTACCTTAGCAGCCACAGAAACCAGCAAAATGGGGCTCACAAGCTGTTCACTGTTCTTTCTAACCCATCGTATGGCTAGAGATTATTAACTCTTTGCCCCACTGAACCTTCTTCTTTTTTATCTCCTGGCAACTACGTTAAGATAATAAAGAAAATCGCTGATCAATATTCTCCCACATTGCAGTGAACAATTACCTGGCAACACACAGATATCCTCTACGTAATTAGGTAAGTGTACATGTTCAGTGCACATAATAGTTTACTAAACGTGTGAAATTTATAATTAAACAGAACCATAATCCTTCTGTCCTTTAATAAAACCCTCCTCCTTCACATCCTGCTGCTATGATCTTCCAGTTTTTGGCAAACTATCATCTACCCCTATTTCCTTATTTCCCCTCTCAGGTGCCTGCACACATCTGAGGGTCCATTAATCAGTGCTACCGCATGGTTCATCATGTTTTATTGCTTAAAGGGTAGTTATAGTCTAAAAAAGACTCAGTGAAAATGACTTCACAGGGTTTCATATTTATTCCCTTTTAATGACTTCCATAGCCAGTGGACTCAGTTTTTAAGTTAAAAGGTAATTTTGAGGGGTTGCTGGTACTACAATTCTACTCAGTGTCTAGAAATCCAGCTGTTCTCTTTGCCTCTTACATCAGCACTGCAATAAAGAGTCTGCCCTTAGAACGTGGCAAGTTTTGTGTTGGTGTCAGATGCAGAACAGACAGAGGGTCACTTCCCTTCAGCCTGCTGCTTTGCTGGTGTCTCGCCCAGCACACCTGCCTTGGAAGCTGGTTCAGAGTAGAGTTGCTATGGAACAAAATGCCATATGTCACATGAAGAACTGTCTACTGAGGTCTGACTTCAGTATGGCCTTTGCTACTCATTCCTCAGAGTTACCAAATGACTGTGAAATGGGAGGATACTTTCAGGGTGAAAGCTCACAGAAAAGGCAGTGAAAACAACAGCAACTGTTTGCTGGATGTCTACATTTTATCAGGGACCACACAATCACATATATGAAAACATTCTCATTTAACATTCTCAGCTATGTTGATTAATATGCCCAGTGTACAGAGGAGGAACAATGACTCAGGAAGCTCATGAAAATGTCTGTGAT